GAAGTGAGATGCAGTTTCACTTTCCTCAAATCAAAAATGACCTTTTACTGATTTCAGTGGCTCTGCAGACATAGATAAATCAAGTCCCAGGAGAGTTTTGTGTACCTGAGCAAAAGCGTTGAGAAGTCCAGAGGACGTTCCCTCGGACTCCGGGTAGGTGATCTCCACCCCGAACTCAAAGCCCAGAGGCAGGTAACCCGTCATGAAGAACCTGCAGAAGAAAGGCAAAGCCTTGTTTTGCCTCCACTGGCATATTCAGATCACACTCTAAGTGTCACGTCTGGGGGAATGTCTGGTGTGTCGTCATGTCTTGATTACCTATTGTGTACACCTGGGGTTCCCCTCCCTCATGTGTTTAAATAGTCCTCGTTTCCCATGTCCTGCGCCAGTGTGTTTTCGTGTTTCGTCTCCCCACGTCATGTAAGGTTTTGTTTTTTTTTCACTTTGCCATAGCCATGATTTTTGTCACAGCCATGCCATAGTCTTGTTTACTGTTTTTTGTCATAGCCATGTTTTTTCACAGCCATGCCACAGCCTTGTTAACTTTATTGCTTTGATACTTTGTTCATAGTTTTTTCACAGCCTTGTTTTGAACCCTGTCTTCCATCCACTCCTTTGGAGTGTGTTTTTTGTTCAAATAAACCCTTGGAACTAACCCTCTCCGCGACTGAGTCCTCCCTAAGATCCACCGTCATGACACTAAGTGTCCTTTTCCTAAAGGTATCTGGATCTGTGCGTGACTAAAAAATGTCCAGATGTTTTTCTGACGTCTGCTTTAACTTCTTATTTGCATGTAAACATCTCTGTAGCAGAGGATGTGTTTAGACCAGCAACAGAGAAGAAACCAGCTCTCCCAGCAGCCAAAACCAGTCAGACCCCCATAGATAGTCTAAATCTGGAGTTTTGTGCCTCTAAAAAAACTCCAGAAAGAGACTGATTAGGTACTTTTATTGTGGCAGGATCGAGACGGCGTCTGTTTTTAACTCATTGGCTGACAAAGACGTTTATAGACGTCAATTCAAATACAACCATTGACTGCCAAAGACGTCTATAGACGTCTTTTATGTTTTTCATCGAAAAAACAATCTGGATTTTTGGGGGACGATCTGCTAAAGCTTGTCCGTAAATATCAGGCTTCTAGACAGAGTATGTAGTAACAAATTGACCCTCTAGGGGGCAGTGCCACTTTTGATAGGAGATGAGCATAGACTGTAGGCAAATAAGAAAAAGGGAACGGTTCTATGAGAGAACATGTCGCCGGTGAGACGCAAGTCGAGGAAGAACGGAATAAGGTAGAAACACTTTTTTTTTCCTGATGAAAGAAGAGAGTCTACTCTTTCTTTTGGTGTGTTCTATGTTTACATAGTCATAGCACAAACTATTCTGTGGCTCTTGAAAAATCAGTCAAAATGCTCAAAAAACTCTGGCAGTATGGGACTCTCTGTTCTGAAAATGGCTGGCAGTCAATGAGTTAAGATTCCTGATGGAAATCGGCTGGGAGTCGTTGCTCTTTATGGAGCCTCTGACATAATCTGAGGTCAAGACCAAGTTGTTGGTGCAAACACGGCCCCTGCGGTACCTCCCCCAGCCCTTCCTCAACCGTTAGCACGACTCATTTCAGCGTTTTCACTTAGAAAAAAGGTGAGCGATGCGTTTAGAAAATGTTGTTCGGCGCACCCCAGGACTCCGGCGGTGACGAAGACCAGGTAGATGTTGTGCAGGTCCAGGGTGAAGGTGAAGACCAGCATGCCCAGAAACGACAGGCC